CAGTCCTTCCCCAACACTAAATAAGATTTTCAACAAAAACATCATCAAAGTTAGCAACAGTTGTGCCAAAAACATTGACCAATATATATCACAGCACAACTGTTCCATTCTAAAACACTTCAACAACCTCCAAAAAAGTAACATCCCCACAACAAAGGAATGGAACTGCCAACAAAACAAACCCTGCCCATTAAACAGCAGATGTATGACCAAGTTGTTAGTCTATAAAACTGAAATCAAATATGATGAGGCCAAGTTTTATGTGGGCTCTGCAGAAAACCATTGGAAATCTTGCTTTTACTACCACCAAATGACATTAAGCAATATCAAATATATTAATAGCACTGCCCTCTCTAAATTTTTCTGGAAACTGAAAAGTGAGAATAAAAACCCACCTATCACCTGGAAATGTGTAATGAAAGCTAAACCCTTCAGTGGGAAAGGTGATAGATTAACTTATGTCTTTCTGAAAAATTAATAATGCTAAAAAATATCAACAATCCAAATCTCTTAAACAAGAGAAGTGAATTAACAAGCACCTGCTTGTATAGAACCAAATTTCTACTCAAGCACACTGACCCAGATTAATATAGTCTAGTTAGACCCAGTGACCACAAATACTAGTAGTGATATTATTTATTATTACCATAATTATTTATTTTTATTAGTATTTTTACTATCTTAACTATATAACTATTGTTACTCTTTTTGCTATTATTAGACTAATGCATTTAATATTTATGCTAAAATTATTATTTTCACTATATAACCATTATTATTATTGTTGTTTTTATCTAACTTTCACTATCAGCAACATGTTTTGCTTTTATTATTTATTGTTTTCAGTTTTATCGTTATGCATTATTTTTATTAATATCTTAATTTTATCACTGCATATTTTATTGTTTTAATTTTTTAAGTTCATTATTGATTTTCATACAAAAAATAGAGTTGCTCCACTTGATCTCCAAGCGTTTTTCTTTGTTTTTTTTATGCCAACATCCGTTTCTGAATTAAAATTTCTAATTCTTATTTTCAATCTTAAATGTTAATCTGCACCTAAATTCAATTGCAAAATTAAACAACAATTCATTTAAATACTTAAAAACAATAATTAACCTCCATAATACAATACAATATCTTGCAATAACCAGAAATAAACAGTGTTACCCTAAATTTGCACCCAAAGATTATATATATAAAACACACACACACACACACCTAGAGTGGGCAATGGATAAATTGTCATCTAAGTTGCTCAAAAAGGAAAATACCACCAACATCTCATTTTAACAGATATATTTATCAAAATTACACAAAAATATCTTGAAATACTAAAGAGTAAAATTTCAATAAAATCACCATTGGCTTTAATCACAGCCTCCAGATGACTTCAGAATCTCCTGCATCACTTCTGGACAGTCTCCTTGTTTAAGTTGGTGAATGTTGCCGTAATCCTTGCCTTCAGTTCATCTTTGTTGTTACACAGAGTTTTGTTGGACACTCGCTCAAATGTCCACTACACATAATAATCAAGGAGGCTGCAGTCTGGGGAGTTGGGCGGCCAGATATAAGAGATGATATTGTTGTAGAAATTGTCTGACAGCTATGACTGGGTTCTCCGCCAGACATATGGTCTTATAGCAGCCACCCTCTTGACCCAGGGCAGCACTACCACATAAAGGCAATTAATTTAGACCTCAGTTTAAGTCTGAGACCCTCACCAATAAATTCAGGAGTTCTTTTGTTAGTGATTTTTCCGAGCTGCTGTGCCTTCGTAATCACCATTAGACTTACCCAATTCTTTCTGAATCCTCTGCACTGTCCTTAGGTTGACAACCAGACACTCTGGAATATTCATATTGGAGCTTCTGTCATGAATGCCAATCAGTACATCATGCTGATTCCGAATTTTTGATGGAGTGAATAGCGTTATGATGCACTTTTTCTCACAGACAGTGCCCAACTGACCCTATTATATTGTCCAATCAACAAAATTAAAAATATAAAATGGCAATAATTTAGCCATTGCACCCCTCTCTTTATATTATATATATATATATATATACACACACACATATATTGGAGTCAACATCCAGGTTACAGTCTGTTTCATACTAAATGCAATCGGAAGACATAGCCTGAGGATTGCATTTAGCATGAAATAGACCATCGCTTCTGGGTGTTGACTTTAATATCCACTTTTATATTTATGTATGCTCTATCCCTGATATTGGGCACTTTAACCCATAAATATAGCATACCTTAAAACTATATATATATATATATATATGCTAAAATGTGTGAAATTCAACTAACAAGTACTATCTCTGATTTTTTTATTATATTTTTCTAATTTCTGAATAAGTTGTACATCCAAATCAAAATTGTCCATAAAGTTTATGTTTTTCTTCTGTTCTTGTTTGAAATCCTTCCACTGACACAGTCATTATCAATAACTAAATGGTATAGACAAGATTTTGTAGGCTACATTCTGCAGCTTGTTTCTTTGTTAAATAACTACAAAACATTTCAAAGCAATTTTTTATGATAGAGAAAGAACAATAATCCTAATACATATAGATACATTCTTTTTCGAGTGAAGTCAAGCTCTGTGAAACCTTTCTAGATATGATATCACTTATACAATACACATATTTCAACTTGAAATGTACAAATTCCCAAAATGCCAATATGTAGCCAACAAAATCTTGTCAACTATATTGAAAAACATTCAGTTATTGATAATGACTAAGAAAATGGAAAGAACAGAAAAACAAACAAAAAAAAAATTTGGACAGTTTGTGCATAATTTTGATTTGTATGTACAAGAACTTATTCAAAAGTTAGAAAAATACAATAAAAAATTAAATAGACAAATCTTGTTGGGTGAATTAAACAAAACATGCTTAAGCAAATTCTTGTTGCCTAACTATATTTTATATACAAGGTGTGTGTAATATTTTTGTACATCAACAGCATAGTCAATAACAGAGCTTGACAATCTCTATATTGTGGAAATACAATTTTCTGTTATTTAAACTTAAAAAAAAAACACTATAATTTATTTACATCTTAAATTATTTTTAGCTCACAGATAAATGGATAGTAATTTTCTAATTACATTTTACTTATGGAATATTAAAAACTTAAATCATGCCATCATATTTTGACAGCATATGTAAATCATTGTGTGTATATATATATATATATATATATATATATATATATATATACACATATATATATATATATATATATATATATATATAAATAAATAAATAAATGTACTTGTTCTTGTCCAAAATTACCACAATACAGACAGAAAAAATAGCATATAATTGAGTTTTGCTCTAAGTTTACAAAAATGGCTTCAAAAATTGCTGGAAGGCAATTTTGGAGCTTTGATTAAAATTGTTGGCAGAGATTCCTCAATAATTCTGCCAAGACAATCTTTGTGGCAGATGCCATGACCTAGCTTAAAGTGCCCAAGAAAGCTGGCCAAAACTTTCTTGGGAAAATAACATAATAGTTTGATTGTTGTTGTTATTATTATTACTACTACATTCTTCATATTGAAATGTGGCTGAGGCAACAGCCACAAGTGCAAAAAAAGCTCTACTTCTGTTTTGATTATTAACAACTGACGATTATTATTCATCCTTTTAAGTGCCCTATATGAATTTCATGAAATAATCAACATTTCCTTGTATGTTGTTAAAATATTTAGCTAGATATTCTGACTTGGAACTGTCAGTGATTACTATTTGTAACTGTTGCATCTGGTAAACTTTGACCATACATTTATTTTTTTCAAATTCTCAACTGGTTGCTGATAACCATTAAGAAGTATCCTGAAATCAGTTAAAATTACTTATTACTTCATCAACTTACTTTGTTCCTAATTTCTATGTCTTGTGGACCTACTGGACCATCATAATGTCTGCAGTAACATTTCAACAAATAAAAAATCAACTCTGTTAACCACTCTCAGCCACTGGCTCATTGCCATGCAGTTGTCTATTCAATTTAACTGCTGTCCTTCTCAATTGCCTGCGTTCCACAGCCAGGGCTCCTTTTTTCTGAAAATTTATCTTCCAGGCAGTATGTGGTAGAGGCAACTGGGACAACACAATTCCTCCTTCAAAGGACTATTATGATAGCATGCCTCCCAAAGGTCACTTTCCTGACTGCAGTCAACCTCAATTGTTCATCTCAAATATCAATCATCTCAGTGTCTCCAGTAATCCCACCCCAACTTCTCAAAATATCTTGGTGGCCCATGGCAAATTATAGGCAACGCCTTTCTACTCAAATCCACTCAAGTAAAATGACATTATAAACCAGATTGAAGGTAGACTGAATAAATGGATTTAAATATCAATTCCAAGAGCTTTTATGACATTTCATACTTAATCCATTGAGTTCCTTGCATGTAAATGATGGAATAATGAGTAATACTTTTAAGTAAAGAAACATCCAGAACAGGAAAAACCAGAGAAAAGGCAATTTTTCATGATTCATACAGTTTGAACACACACACAAAAAAAATTCTCAAAAATTTCAGACACAACACCAGTGATCTGTCAACAAGGTTAACTGCTCATCATAAAATGTATTTTAGACATACTACAAACTGCCAGATTTTCTTTTCTTTTTACTTTTGAAAATAAACTATTACTTTGTTATTGCCTATTGCTAAAAAAAATAGGCATATGGTTAGAATGTTAGTGTTATGACCATAAAATCCAGGTTCAAATCTCAGCATGGTTGATTTGTTAGAAAGGCTGCCTCTTGATAATATCATGTTGAAAAGTAGATCTGAGCATGTTACACTATTAGGAAGTGGCTGAAAGCCATATCACATGTTGACCCAAGCCTTTTAAGTGAAATTAGGTAGACAAAACAATTCAAAAGCAATCAATAATTGTGCTGTCACAAATCAACATGACTGAGACTTTCAGTGTACTGATTTTGTTCTAGTACTCATCATATCAGCTAGCAGCCACATCAGGTTGAAAAATTGGTTTCCATACAATCATCAAAGTTAAGCAACATCGAGCCTGGTCAGTACCTCAATGGGTAACCACCTGGGAATACCAGGTGTTGTTAACTTAGATGTGTGAATGTTGTGATAATTTAATGGCTCAAAATCAGAAAGCCAAGTTCGAATTCCAGTCAAATCCATTACATTCACTTATGTGCTAATACCCTTGGGAAAGGCATGTATCCTCTTCTCCCCCTAGCTATGGGTAAATAACAGGATCAACTGGGTTCTACAGCCTTAGATAGCAACTGGTCTACCACAGAAAGAAATGGCAACCTACTGCAGGAAAAAAATCTGCCTCATCAGTCATCTATCAAAAGATTCATGATCTTCTAAGTGTGTAATGACTGATATCCACTTACTTGCAAATACTCTTGGGAAAGAGTTGAATTCACTTCTTCTCCCCCCAGATATGGGTTAATTATTAAGACTTGTATTACTACAAATATTATTATCTCCAAGAAAACTAAAATTGTGTATGCATGAAACACAAGTCAGTTCTGTGGGTGTTAAAAAGACACAAATATGCCTGAGCATGCATCTGCAACAGGGATTAGCTCACCACTCTAGCAAACTAGCATACGCAGAAATGAACCATTACATTACTAAATGAATTCTCTGTAATCGAATTAATATTTAAAACATTTTTGTAATTCACAAAATGCGTATTAAACTAACAATTTATTATGAATTTTTTGACTCTTATCTAATCTTGTTTCAGTTGCTTTATTATTGCAACTATGAGGTCATTATTTCATGATCATTAAGTAATTATCATATTTTTAGGTGTATAAAGGCACACTTTTTTACCTTAAAATTTAATGTCAACATCTGCTTGCATCCTAAACACCAAGTTATATATATATATATATATATATATATATATATAATACCAAAGGCTTAAACACTAATATTCCAAAGTCATAATTTATTACATTGGAATCGTAATCACAATCCGATTCATCAGACCTACAAATTCAAAAAAAATCAGTTTCTTTTGGAATTTGTAGGTCTGATGAATTGGATCTTGATTACGATTCCAATGTAATAAATTATAACCATGGAATATTAGTGTTTGGGCCTTTTATATTCTTGCTCTTTCCTGGACAATGACCTCTACTTGGATTCTATCTTCTTGGAAATTTATATATATATATATATATAGTGACCACTAATATTATCACTATATATATATTTAAATAAAAATGGTTTAGTTCAGTTGAATGCGTTATTTATAACAAAAGCATGGATTTCAAATGTTAAAATCACCAATCAGAGTGCTTAATGCAGTCAATATCAGTAATCACATAATCAATATTTCAATTTTCATTGGATACTTGAAAAAACTCTTCAAAATAAGGATTCACCTTATCCACCACTGTGACTTATATTATGAAAAACATGGTTAAGCAGATTGGAAATAAAGAATAAGATTTCAGGGATGCTTGAACTTGTCTCCTATGTTCTTTAGAATCTGTTTTACTATGACAGCACTATTACCAGTTTGGTCATTAAAACTTACACAAGTAACCATCACTAAACATAATTAAGATGAATGAAATACTAATAAAAAAATTAATGATTGTATTATCTAAGAAAATCAAAAATTAATGATTTCATGTTGCAATTTGATGGAGACATTTTTTGGACTTATATTACATGATTTTTTTTTTTCTTTTAATTTATCATATAGCACATATAATCATATTAATTTAACCAAATGTATGAGGAGAAACAGTTGAAACTGTTTCTCCTTATAAAACTGCTTAAATTTGTATGATTATATATCCTTCATAACAAACCATCTTTTATTAGTTTGGCTGCCACTTTACCAAAAAAAAGATTCTTTTCTATATAATATATTGATCTTCAATGAAAATAAATAGTTAACATCTTTAATGGGTTAACCAAATTAGGCCTTAGGCAATGTATCTACTCTGCCTAAAGCTAACACACAATTAAATCAATAGAAAAGATAAACATTTCTTTTTATTACAAATGCTTTTCACTGAATTGCTGATTACTGACTCTTAGATGTCTCTGAATAACTTCAAAGAGTGCATTTTCTTTCTCTTTTGGCTTTTTAGCACAGGCATTTTTTTTTTTTTTTTTTGCATATGTACTGAAATCTATTATGACAGCTGATTCTCACTGCCCATAGTTGGAGAATACAATACCTAATGAGAAAAACATACAAAGCATAAGATTGTGACAGTTTTTCAGATTCAATACACTCTGCACACACTCACCAAGAAAACAGCAAATTGTGGTATTTTTAACTTTTTTTTTTTTTCCTTTCTATAATGGTAGTAGAATCTAATCCCCAAAACAAGTCAGTTTTGATGATACTGAAAATGATTTATCAAAAACTACTACACTTGATTACATGTTTAAAGCATATCCCTTATCTCTTAGTGGCTTTACTGTCTTGTTTGGGATGAAATAAATTTAAAAAATTCTTTAGTTCATCTATATTCCATTATTGGATATTATATACCAACATGCTTACCATGGCAGACTAAGAGTTTTGAAATTGTCTTTGGAACATTTTTTAAAGACCTGTTAATAAAGATTGAAAAATAAACCTCACTATCTCTTATCAAACCCTCTGACAATGAAACTCTCTTTAAGTTCCCTATATTTACTGGTTTCAAATGAATGTCTATGAAGAATGACTATGGACATAACAGCTTGTTACAGTTGCTGCCTGCAGATTTACAGTTGAATGGTTTTCTTTTCTCCAACTAGTTTGACAAGACATTTTTTTCGAAATATCTACATAATGAGAGAGTAGAGAGGATGTTAGGCATTGGATGAAACACAAGCACTTTCAAATTAAATTTGAACTGTGTACATGTTTACAGTTATACATTATCAAGTGCAGTAAATCAACTTCTTATATCCTCCTCCTCCTTAGTGTCACAGCATTTCTACACTAGGTGTTGCTGCCATCATTTCCATAGCAGGTAGGTGTTTACAGGGTGCAGTTGTCAGCAACATGCCCAACCAGCTTTTGATTCAGAGTCATCTTCCTCCTTGACTGTTTGCCAACCAAGTGTAAAGAGCCCAGTCTACTCTGGAGTTTAACCCATATGTTGAGGGGGGGGGAATGGATTCATACCTTCCACAGGTATTTACGTAAAAATGACTGCAATGATCTCAGACAGAATTTCAACTCAATAAGACAATTCCACATTCAATGGTGTAACCACTACACTAAGTGCACATCCATAATACTATAATTTTTTCCTTTATCAGATCGAGAATAGTTCAAAAACCACTTCGTATCTCTAATGAATATAATCTTATATGTAATTGTGCAGAAAGTGATTTTTCATGTGAAAAATTCAATTTATATAATTAAAATTTGTAATTACATCAGGAATATTAAGTAACATATAACAATTATTATTATGTGCAAGGTCCCATCACAACATGGGTAGCCATGGCTCTTCACAACTTCCTCTCCTTTGTAGCTCTTAGTATTTTGGTATCTCTTCTACCTCCATTCACAGAAACTGGTCAGGTAGTTGGTTTGCAGCTTCTTCCTGTCCTTTTGCCCTCATTATGATCCTTGGATACTAATACTGTTAAGGTTTATAAAGAGATTTTTTTTTATATTTTCATTTACAGACTTCTACATTTTTAAGCTTATGCAAAGCTTTACATGAACATGTGTTGGTGTAATAGATAGAGTCTTGGAATATGAAATCTGTAAACCAACTTCCAATTCCAGTCAAGTTTTTTACATTCACTTGCATGCAAATGCCCTTGAGAAAGGTAAATAGACAGAATGGTTCCTATAGCCTTGGTTGTAAACCAGTCTCAGAGAAGAAAAACTGAATTCAAACAAACCTTTAGGGGCTTGGGCGTCTTCAGTCTATCTTACCAAAGACACATAACATCTGTAGTACGTCTGAGGTCCCTAAGTGTTTAAGGGACTTAATTGGAATTATGAAATCTCTCTATATACTATCATTCAGTGATTCTAATTCATTCTGAAAGATTTTGGTGGTTGTTGATTTCTGAATTTTATTTCAAGAGACAGATTGCCACACATAAAACAACTTTAGTCATATGCCACTTCATTTCTTCCCACTTCCAGTATTCTGTAAGCTGCTTCATAGGCTTTGAGGGCCAGTTTAGAAGCATACCTCAAAATTATGACAATCTCAGTATTTGTATCTACCCTCATTGGAGAAAAGAAATGCTAAAGCTGAATAATATATATGTTCCTCTATTGAGAAAGAGTATTCAGTATTGAAGAGAGCACAGATGATTGTGTAGATACTGTAATCAACACTGCATGGTGACTATCAGTTTCATACCATGAAAATTTTCAAATCCCATGACCTATTCTAAAGATCATATTGAGGCATGTAACTAGTGGGTCACTATGCAGTGTTAATTCTCATCGCCACACTCTCTTTCATACATATATAACTCTTCAGTAAGACTTTTTAGTTGATAGTTTTTAAATGTGTACTAAAACGAGCATAACAACAAAAATTCATAAAAACTAAAATAATTTTTATACAGCTTAAAATATTAATGTATAGGAATCATAGAGAATCTTCATTTATGCACATGAAAAAATGAAAATACTTTTGATACACCCTAAGATTTTCAACGAATCTGGGTTTTAAGATTTCAAATTAAAGAATAGAGCATGCATAATCTTAATCTGGAGTCAATTCTGCTTTTTATTTATTAACTTTCAGAATATCTTACTTCCAGTTTCAAATCCACCAAACAAATTATTTATATAATATTAAGCCTCTTTCCAAATAAACAATAAATAGAACTTAAATTTTAAAACATTAGATTTTAAAAATCTAAGATAATCATCATAAGAGAAAGATGACTATTCATAAAATTTGATTTATAGATGCAATTAGAAAATAACACTATCAATTTAAAAAAAATTTAAAAATAGCCTTTTTTGATTCCCTTCAGCCACTCAAATTTTACTTTGTTAATCTTTCAAAAAAAAAAAAAAAAAAAAAAAAATGCAAACGAAAAATTCAATCAAGTTTAAAGATGACTAAAGGCTTTTTTACAATG